CTTATGTATTATACATGGTGATCATATCCCCCTTATGTATTATACATGGAGATCATATCCCCCCTTATGTATTATACATGGTGATCATACCCCCCCCTTATGTATTATACATGGAGATCATATCCCCCCTTTATGTATTATACATGGAGATCATATCCCCCCTTATGTATTATACATGGAGATCATATCCCCCTTATGTATTATACATGGTGATCATATCCCCCCTTATGTATTATACATGGAGATCATATCCCCCTTATGTATTATACATGGAGATCATATCCCCCCTTATGTATTATACATGGAGATCATATCCCCCCCTTATGTATTATACATGGAGATCATATCCCCCCTTATGTATTATACATGGAGATCATATCCCCCCTTATGTATTATACATGGAGATCATATCCCCCCTTATGTATTATATATGGAGATCATATCCCCCCTTATGTATTATACATGGAGATCATATCCCCCTTATGTATTATACATGGAGATCATATCCCCCCCTTATGTATTATACATGGAGATCATATCCCCCTTATGTATTATATATGGTGATCATATCCCCCTTATGTATTATACATGGTGATCATATCCCCCTTATGTATTATACATGGAGATCATATCCCCCCTTATGTACTATACATGGTGATCATACCCCCCCCCCCTTATGTATTATACATGGAGATCATATCCCCCCTTATGTATTATACATGGTGATCATATCCCCCTTATGTATTATACATGGAGATCATATCCCCCCTTATGTATTATACATGGAGATCATATCCCCCCTTATGTATTATACATGGAGATCATATCCCCCTTATGTTATTATACATGGTGATCATATCCCCCTTATGTATTATACATGGAGATCATATCCCCCCTTATGTATTATACATGGAGATCATATCCCCCTTTATGTATTATACATAGCGATCATATCCCCCCTTATGTATTATATACATGGAGATCATATCCCCCTTAATATCCTCTTCTCAAGAGAGAATAAATTCAGTTCCTCTAATCTTTCCTCATAGCTGAGCTCCTCCAGCCTCTTATCAGTTTGGTTGCCCTTCTCTGCACTTTCTCCAGTTCCCCAATGTTCTTTCTGTGAATTGGTGCCCAAAACTGAACTGCATATTCCAGATGAGGTTTTACTAATGATTTGTACTGGGGTAATATGATACCTCTCTCTCTGGAGTCTATAGCTCTTTTAATACAAGAGAGGATTTTACTCACTTTAGAAACCGCAGCTTGGCATTGCATGCCTGTTAATGAGTTATTTTCAGAACTTTCTTTCTTCTACAGTCATGCTTTTCATAATTCTATACTCTTTTGAGTTTAGTAAAATGTATCTGCCAATGATCAATCTAATACACCTCTTCTATATGTTTTATTTGAGAAGTGACTTGCCACGATTTGCAAACTGTTTGAAGTTGTTATACTTTTGTATTTACCTGTGCATTCATAAATAAAAAAAAAAAAAAAAACTTTGTGAAATTGGTACTGCGGGGACTTTAGACGAGGGGATATACACCCCAAAGCTTGTCCAGAAAATGTAACTGTTAGATCAAACTAAAAAGCATCACAGACAATCACTCACTGCTTGTGTTTGTGTTTGCTTGTCTTGCTTGTGAGCTGTTTGCTTTAGGCACTTGGGTTTAGATTTCAAAAGCCAATTCATTCTTTTTTTTTCAATTCAACAGTGTGAACATCACAGCTTTATATGTATTTTAATTATATTTATTTATATTGTATTTATTTTAATATATCATTGTATTATATTTATATTCATTGTAGTTATAATATCTGGAAAAAACAGCAGATAAATTAATCTGTAAAACTAGGATCTGAATCCCCTTCACTGCATTATAACCTGGACCCATAGAGAATTATATATTTTATAATACATTTTTATATGTATTTGAAAAAAAATAGAAATATAAATAAATTCATAAAACAAATTGAATAAATGTAAAAGAAATATAAAAAATGTGCAACAATGTAAATTCTGAAAAAAAATGCAATTTGATATGTCCTTATAAAAAGAAATATTAAACAGCATTTTTTTTTAAACTTTGTCAGGGCTTTAACATGCTTATTATTGGTACAGCTATTTAAAATTGGCATATGGACAACTATTTATTAATATCTGCGAATAGCTGACTAGTGGAGTCGGAACAGTGGACATAGACAAGAGGAGCATGGGTAAACTTCCGTACTTTAGTAAATCTGCCTAATTATCCCTTCTGTCACAAACAGGTGCAATGTAAAAACCAAAAGCAATTTCCTGCACGTGTTGTTGATTGAAATGAGAGCAAATTAGAGTATTTATCCCACAATAAGCAGGTGATTAACAAGCAGGCGTTTTATGTCAATGTGAGAGGCTGTTGGAAAATATTGCATCCTGAAAACCCAGCAGGTTATAACACAGCAATAGATTGATGGCCCTCTATGGCAGGAAGACTATATTTTTGGAGCTGTTGAGGTAAGTAAAGGGATGATGTAGGCTAAAGGATCAAATTTCCTTGTAGTGAGACTTGCCCCATCAAACAGCTCCTAACCTCAGAATCAGTGTTCAGAAATAAAACGTCGGTACTGATCAAAGCCACAACCCAAGCGTCTTCCATTTTAGAGGCTGATGCCTCTCTGGGGTTTGCCACCACTTCTATCAAACACAATACAAGTCATTATAAAACCACCCATTTCTGGTAGGACTGGCTTTCTGGCAATACAAGCACTGTATCAAACAGAAACAAGCATGGCCACACTTTGTATTTTTCAGTCTCTAAATAAAGTTTATTGAAGCTTACAGACCAAACATATACTGCCTGGAATCCCTCAACTAATGCATTTCAATTTCAATGGGTACTGATCAAAGCCACAACCCAAATGTCTTCCAGCTCATGGGTGTTGATGCCTCTCTATGGTTTGCTCTGACTACTCTTTCCATCAAACAATCAGAAATAAACATGGCCACATTTCATGAACTCCAACATTTCTGTCAACTTTATTTATCCAGACAGACTCAACATACCTTACCTGAATCTTCCCACCCTAATGGACTCAGCTCTACATTTAAGTCAGTTTATTGGGTGAAATACATTAACTTTGGAGATCACAGGGAAAGTTTGTTCTATCTGGATCAATAAAGTTTATTGAGACATCCAAAGTGGGACATGATTGTTTCTGTTTGATACAATGCTAGTGTTGTCAGAAAGACAGTCCTACCTGTTAAATGGGTGGTTTTATGACCATTCTTACCTCGGAGACTCTTTGCCCCCTTCCCATTCCATAGCCCACTTAATGCTTTCCTTATCTGATTAACTTTCTAATTGTTGCATTGCGGTTTTTGAGAGATTGTTCTCTCACTAGGGAGATTTTGCTTTGCTTCCTGTCCCATAGCCAAACCGGAAGTGATAGGAAATCCCTCCAAAGTGAGAGAATCCCTGGTTGTCACCAGGGTCACCAGAACAAGTGTCCACACTGGAAATGTTTCCCTCTATTCCTGTTCTAGTGACAACTCCAGATTTGGAATTTTCGTTCTCTTTTACTCTCAGTAAAGAAAGAAAATAAGACATATAGAGAAGGTAAAATTCCTTAATGAGGACACAGACAGCAATAAACCCCTGATAGATGTTATAATCTGTTTCCGCTTTAAGTGGGCGATGAAATGGGAGGGGTAGACAGTTTCAGGAAAATACTGCATTATGGCCACTATATGGATGTAGGCAGGTGGAGTTCCCCTTTTGGTGAGATCCCTCCCTTGCAGGGAGGAGTGGGGGAGAACCCCATTAGGTGGGTGGATCTAGGGCCTGGAAGCAGGAAGGAGAAGGAGGACAGTGCATTGTGTTCTTCTTCTCCCACCTGCTTGGAGGGGGGCAAGGGAAGAATAAGATATGCCACAAGATGCCTCCTAGGCCTGGACTAAACCTAGGACAGGAAAGAACTTTGCAAGACATGCTAGAGGAAGGTAAAGATTTTAGGACCTAGGCCCAAGTGCAACCGTTTCCCAATGCCAGCTATAATCAGCTAAATGGCTTGTGACAGAATTTATTGCTCAGCCATGCTATGAAGAGCTGTGCCTTGGCTAGACTGTAATTCTTCCACAATGATCAGTAAAGCCATTTCAACTAGATTTCAGCCTTGGCCAGCATCCTAGTATGGGGAGAGAATAAAAGTGTGTTCTAATAATGTCCCCTGGCTGTAGGTTTGTAGAAGATGGCCAGTCTCTGGAACCCCCAGGAGTGAAGGGGTGAAGCACGTAGCCAGGAGGATGGAATGGGGGTTGCACAACAGGAATAGTCATATGCAAAGGTTGCATTGCCCAGAAGGTCGGTGTTATGTTGGGGGTTCAGCTTGGCTGCTCGCTTAGGCCACCACCTGCCAACATGGAGTATTTATACTCCATATAGGAAATGATAATTTAACAAACAGTACAGTAGATGTTTGTGATGCCTGTGTGAATGCTTAAGACATCTACACCGCAAATATTTTATACGTAGACCCCAATGTATTCTTTGAAGATTTACTTCTGCTTTAGGTATTACTAAAGTCCCTGTTAAAGGATAAGTTCACCTTTTTAAATATTTCAACCTGCAAAAAAATTTGTATTTATTATTTTTTGTTTCTGGAGCCTCTAAAGCATTGCACCAGTGATCAGCAGATTGCTGGTGCCATGCTGGTCTCCTGAAGACCTTTCAGTATACTTGCTTGCCCGTACAGGTTGTACAGACAAGAAAATATACTGACAGAAAGAATCAATGAACTACCACAGTGTTCCACAGCGCCATGGTAGTTCATTGAGAACTACAAGCTAACAGCTGCAATGGCTGTCGGGACTTGTAGTTCATTCATTCACAGAACACCGTGAATGAATGACGCGGCCGTGTGGGCAGCAACTTTTTTAGAAAATTGTGACAGCTAGTGGGGAGGAGAAGATCGGGAAGGAGCGAGGGCCGGTCCGTTCGTAACATGTTACATCCAACCAGGGGTGGACTGACCATTTGGAAACTCGGGCACTGCCCAAGGGCCTGGGGTCAGTAGGGGGCCCCATGAGATGCCCCTGGTACCTTTTTCATGGGATTTTTTGACTTTGGGCAAGGACACAGGGGCCCCATGATCCCCTATTGCCCGGGGGCCCCATGAGTTGTCAGTCCTCCCCTGCATCCGACACAGCAAAACACTTTTCTCCTGTGCTGGGAATGGACTCGGTGGAAACAGTAAGGATGTTCTAGAACATGCACTGCTTGCTGCCCTCAACAGACCTGGGTGGCCCAACTTCACTGAATGCAAAATAGAAAAACAAAGGAGGAAGAGGTTGTGGCCTCGAAACACGTTAGCCAGTTGGTCATCCAGGATTCCATCGTATGGGCTCAGATGCTGCTTGGATACATTATCTTGTTCGGTGCAATATGCCTGTGTTTTTATGTTCATTGTGAGCATAATACTTACCTTGTTTTTTTCAATAAATATTTTAAACGATAATGCACTAGGTCGGTGCACCCTTTTTGTTTTTCTATTTTGCATGTTACATGTTACACCCTGAATAATGAACCTATCCTTTAAATCTATTTGCCTTTGGAGGGAATTTACTAATAATGGAGTACTTAGAATCTGGTGAAGTTGTGCATGGTAGCCAATCAGCTTCTAACTTCAGCTTGTTCAGTTAATCTTTGACAATAAAACATGGAAAACATTTATCGATTTCCACCATGGAAAGATGTGTTACATTTATAAACTTTATCTACCATCATTTGCCAAATTGAGCCACATTTGCAGAATATCTAGATTTTCCATTTCTTGGGAAATTCTGATTTCAGTAATATTGGCTCGTATTTATAACCTAGCCAATGTCACATTTTCCAGCAGTAAACACGAGTAAACATTTGCCATTCTCAAATGGCCTTAAAACCTTATTTTCATATATCAAGCTTTGAATTCTTTCCCCACTGCAGATTTTAAAGCTTCTGTAGCACTTGCTAATAATATGTATATATTTGAATGTCTATAGCATGACCACAGTTCCATTTTAAGATCACATTTTTTTATTTTTAAATTTCATTTAATTTATTAACTCATTTTTAATTTGACTTTATCATTCTCCCAGAAAGGAATCATTAAAAACAACAAAGACAACTTCTCCCATTCTGCACCCAAGAGATATTTGCAATTAAATTGAACATCTAATAATATTTTTTTTAGCATTATGTTGGCATTGGTGTATGTCCACACAATTTATCTAGACACTACCATTCTGTGTGTTTGAAGTACTAATAAAAGGCCACCATGATTTGAAAAAATGATTCCATGTCCTTTTCCTTAATTAAGGTGACTTCAAGTCAGTCATTCCTTATGGAAAAGTAACTCACTGAGAGCTGCAAATTTTTGCTCGATATGCCATACAGTTTTCTTCATGGTTGCTGGCTAGATACATAATGTGCTTCTCATGTGTTTGTGTGTTGTAAACTATTACAACACACAAACAGTGACTGGCCCCAGGTGATACACAGAGATTAAACAAATCTTCCTACGTAAGTTGTACCTGTTGTTCTGCAGCGCTTTCTATATCTGTTCAAAATCCAGAATCGCAGCTCCAAGAGGCAGGGGGTGGGTATCTGATGTCACACACTGCACAGCATAAAACAGGGAGCTGAGTGTAACCTGAGACTTGAGTGGAGAGAAAGGACACACCCCTTCAGTCTCATAGGGATACATATACAGCTGAGGCTGTCAATCACCTGATGTTAGCTGGAGGGGTTGCAGGTCTGTCTCCCAGGATTGTCTACTGTTGGCATAGATTATCAGAAGTGACTCATGCAGATAGCAGAGGAATGAGAAAGCAAGCAGAAATCACACTAGGTGCTTTGAATTGAAGTATACACTATAGAAGGATATGCTATGCTCATTTTTCATCTCAGAGGTTTACAATGACTGTAAGTCATTGTCGTTGATGGGCAAATAGCTAGCTAAATAAAGCCCCATTTGAAGCCCCAAGCCTTGTGCAGGGTAAAGGTATACATTCTCCTACAAAGATCTTTTATCTCACAACAAGCAGTGAACATATAATTAAAGACAAAACTGTTTTTTTTAGCTTTGGATGGAGTGGAGATGGGTTAGAATGCCTATTAGGTCTTTATTGCTGTCTGTGACTCTGTTAGGGAGAATCATCCTCTCTATTTGTCCTGTTTACCTTTATCACTGAAAGTGAAAGTGAACGAAAATCCCAAATTTTGGGTTGTCCCCAGAAAAGCAATAGAAGGGAAATCTTCCAATGGGAACACTAGTTCTGATGACCTGGGGGGGACCCCAAGGAATTCCCTTAATGTGTAGGGATTTCCTCTCACTTCCTGTTTTGGCTATGAGACAGGAAGTCAAGTGATATTCCAATGGGACAAAGATGGTCAAATATAAACTGACAGGGGTTATAACCTTCCTTTACTCTATCCAAAATGAAATCCAAAATGTTGACATGTTGGCCTTTAACCACTTGCCTACCGGGCACTTATACCCCCTTCTTTACAAGGCCAATTTTCAGCTTTCAGCGCTGTCTCACTTTGATTGACAATTGCGCGGTCATGCAAGATTGTACCCATATGAAATTTTTATCATTTTTTTCTCACAAATAGAGCTTTCTTTTGGTGATATTTAATCTCCGCTGGGCGCTTTATTTTTTTGTGCTATAAACAAAAAAATTTCAAAAAATGTGAAAAAAAAGTTTCTTTATTTCTATTTTAAAATTTTTCAAATAGGTAATTTTTCTCCTTCACTGATGTGCGTTGATGAGGCAGCACTGATGGGCACTGATAGGCGGCACTGATGGGCACTGATAGGCAGCACTGAAGGGCACCGATAGGCAGCACTGATAGGCAGCACTAATGAGGTGGCACGGATAGGCACTGATAGGCAGAACTAATGAGGTGTCACGGATAGGCGGCACTGATAGGCGGCACTGATAGGTGGCACTGATAGGCGACACTGATGATGGGTACTGATAGCACTGATAGTTGGCACTGACTGGCATCACTGCTGGGCACTGACTGGCAGCACTACTGGGCAGTGACTAGCACAGCCACTGGGCACTGACTGGCAGCACTGCTGGGCTGCACTGATGGGCACTGGTGGGTGGCACTGGTGGGCACAGGTGGGTGGCACTGGTGGGCACAGGTAGGTAGCATTTCTGGGCACAGGTGTGTAACACTGCTGGACACAGGTAGGTGGCACTTCTGGGCACAGGCGGGTGCACTGCTGGGCGCAGGTGGGCGCACTGCTGGGCACAGGTAGGCAGAATTTGTGGGTGGCACTGCTGGGCACCGATCATCAGGGCACAGATCATCAGTGCCCCGATGATCAGTGCCAATCCCTGCTCTAACAACTGCCGGTTCTCGGCAGTACTTTCCTCACAATCTGACAGCGTGAGGAAAGTGCAGCCGAGAACCGGCAATTGCATTTCCCGGTGATCAGCGCGTCATTGGACACGGCTGATCACGTGGTAAAAGGCCGCTGTGATTGGCCTTTTACCACATCACGTGATCAGCTGTGTCCGTAGGACACAGCAATCACGGAGATCGCCGGGTGCGCACCCCCGGGGGCGCGCAGGAGAGCGCGTTCTGGGAGGACGTCATATGACGCCCACCCAGAACTGGCCGGCCGCAGTGTAGCCATCATTCGGCTATCTGATCTGCGGTCGGCAAGTAGTTAAGAAACTTACAGAAAAAGAACTAGTTGTGGGCTCAACCGGAATAAGGAATTTGTAAATACTCAAGAAAAATAATTCACACAAAGGAGAAGGTGATCAGTGGTGTACGAAAACTTGTTTATTACAGACAAAATTAAAAGTATAAAACAAACACAAAAAATCGTACCACACTTCACAGGTCCCAAGTAGGTAAATCCCCGTCAGGGAAAACTCATTAGTGGAAAGATAATTGTATGGATGACTCATATGTAAGCTATAGCATGTTCCAAGTAAGGGTGCACCTACTTGGGACCTGTGGAGTGTGGTACGATTTTTTGTGTTTGTTTTATACTTTTAATTTTGTCTGTAATAAAGAAATGTTCGAAACTCCATACCAGACCCTTACCTGAGCATGCAGCCTGGCAGGACAGTAAAGGAAGGTGGAAGGGGGGACGAGCATGTGCCCCTTCCTGAACCATACTAGACCACATGACCCTAACATAGGAAGGGTAGCTTGGAATGAGGGAGCCCCATAGTAAAGCATCTCGTTCCCAAGTTGATGAGGACAAGGGCATCTTCCCTACAATCCTGGCCTGGTAGCTGGGGGGGGGGGGTGTATTGATTGATTTATATCACCTTGGAATTCTAGATTTTGATTTTTTTTTTCCCCAAAATAATTATTCTTTAAAACTGAACTCCAGGCAAACAGATTTGAAGGGATTGGAGGTTGGTAGACTGTATTTATTAAAGTGGTTCTAAAGACCAAATATTTTTTACCTTAAAGCATTCCCTGCGTTTAGGTAAACAAAGGTAAACAAATATTGCCCCCTTGCCCTCATTATACTTATCTGAGCCCTTACTCAATCCATTGCTGTGCCTGTCTGTAGTGGCTCTCTCTGCTTCCACAGGCTTTGCTGAGGGACTGGAAGCCATTGGCTCCTGCTGCTATCAGTCAAATCCTGTGACAAAGGAGTGGGTGCAGGGAAAGTTGTGCTGTATGTGTCTATGGATGCAGGCAGAGTGGCTCAGGATAGAGCCTGCAGGTGTGCCATGATAGGCAGTGGCTTCCTATGGTGGCACACCAAGAAGATGAGGAGACAGGAGTGCTGGGGGGGGGGGGGGGCTCAGAAGAGGAAGATCAGGGCCGCTCTGTGCAATTCAATAGCACAAAGCAGGTAAGTATAACATGTTTGTTCTTTTAAAAAAAAACAAAACTTTACAATCACTTTAATATATGTGTAGCATTACCCCCATAGGAGTTTCAAAATATTTGGGTCCTCCTGTAGTCCTGCACAGCCAGGCAGCACATATTTCCACACAAATTTGTATTCAGGAGTCAGTAACCAGTCCTTGAGCTTGTTTTGAAGTTTTATTAGGGGGGTTTCAACTTGGATAGAATAAGGGGTGTACGGGATGAAACTGAGAAACCGAGGACAACTTCCCAAACTATATACAAGTGGTTCCAGCAAACAGTCTCTTGCGAAGAGCG